CCAGGAGTGGTGTATATATAAGGCAATATGTAAACATTGTTTAGGATGTTGAACTGCATGCTTTCTTTGTATCTATTACAGGCTGATATTCTGGAAGGCAGAATCAAATTTTCTTCCATGATTCAGAATCTATTGTTATTTTAAAAAAAATAAATACATTTAAGTAAGTCAATTTTTCTTAAAAGGAGTGCATTTTTTCTTGAATTGAGCAGATAAGAGAGTCTGCCAATGGAAAAAGACAATTAAGATAACAAAAAAACAAATGCAGTCTCTTATTTCAACTGCATTATAACTAATTACCTTATTTTAATGGTAAAAATGCTAATTCCTTTGGCAGATCATCTTATTTTCCTACTCAGATTAAAGGTAAATACAGTTATTTTAAGAAATTCTGACTCTTTTTCAGAACGTTTTTGCAGTTGTGGTGTAAGAATGTTGAGTTATGTCTGTTTTCAGTCACAGGCTCCAAAGGAAGGCCAGCAGAGATGAGGATAAAGTGGTTGTAGTTCACTCAGCCTCCCTGATGGCAAGAACAGGAGGACGGCTGTTTTGAGAAGTTCTATCTGACCGGTGGAAGATATAGAAATGTCCTTGGTGGGGGGGGGGGACGTGTGTGTCGACAGTAACCAATGTTAGTGTGTAAGAAAGTTCCTTATATGCAGGAGTGAAGAGCCGCCCCAATCAGAGCTCTGCCTCTGCAGACGTAAAAAATAAATTTAAGCCTTCCTTTCAAGAATTGCCTCTGTCTCAGTTTTCTACAACTCCTGAAATGTATATTCCAAGTGGTTGGAAGGTGTTTCAGTTTTTCTACTGTTAAAGCCTGCAGTTAACAGTAGAATCTAGACAGAAAACGTCTATGTTTCCAGCAGCCCGTTAAGGTTTGTTCAAGCAAGTAAGAGTTTGTTGGTAACTACTGGAGGCTGGCTGTAAGGAGATGACGCGGTCTGCTCATGCGCTCTTTGTTATCTGAGAACCGAGCCAGAACTGGACCTCGCAGAGCCCTACTGATGAACTAGTACCATGTTAGCGCGGTTTGGTTGGGTCCGGTTCAGTTACCTTGGTTACCGTGCTCAGGTCGATCTCGGCACGGTTTTAAAAGGCTAGTGTAAATGGGGCTTATGTTATACAGTATAGTTTAGCTTTTTGGTTCCATGTGTTTCGGAGCTGAACCGCGGTTAGCGGTTGGCATTAGCGGTGCAGCCTCCATTATCCTGCTTCTTTCTGTGGCTTTCAGAGAGTCTGGCCTACAGCTGCTTCACTCAGCTGATGAAGAGGATGAGTCAGAACTTCCCAAACGGTGGAGCCATGGACACACACTTTGCCAACATGAGGTCGCTGATCCAGGTGATGATGAGTGTGAGTGTGAGCTTTCCCCCCGTTAGCATCCGTCTCTAACCTCTGCCCTCCTTCCTGCTGGCAGATCCTGGACTCTGAGCTGTTCGAGCTGATGCAGCAGAACGGAGATTACACTCACTTCTACTTCTGCTACCGCTGGTTCCTGCTGGACTTTAAAAGAGGTGAATCTCTCCCTGTGACTCACTACTTCATCACCTCAGGTTAAACCAAATATTTACACGCAGCCTAAAATGAAACACAAACCTTCCTTCCTTCACTGACCGTCTGTAGATCAGACTCACCTCTTCCTGTTCTGGTTTGTCTCATGGGCCGTTTCTCAATTCACGAGAACACAAGTCCGTACTCGCATTCTCGTCAAGTCCGGTCTTGTCAAGAACACAGGAAAGTCTGGACTCTGGGAGAACGGGAGCACGCAGAGTAAATCTGGGTTAATTGGAACAGAAGCGTACTGATGACATCACCGCACGCTCGGCTCGTCAAGAGCTGCATTTCACATCCTGTTATTAATAGTCTCTATTTAATAATAAATTATGACTTTATTCATTTAGTGGGGGAATAATAATGAACACAGTCAGATAAACACAAATCAAATTAATATTTTGCCAAATAAAACAAAAAAAAATCGCCATCAGTTCCAGCGGTCCTTCACACACGATTATGCAGAGAGAGGGATGCTGCAGACGGGCTAACGTTAGTCCTGGCTGCTGCAGACGGGCTAACGTTAGTCCTGGCTACCGCAGACGGGCTAACGTTAGTCCTGGCTACCGCAGACGGGCTAACGTTAGTCCTGGCTACTGCAGACGGGCTAACGTTAGCCCTGGCTGCTGCAGACGGGCTAACGTTAGCCCTGG